GAAATTTCGGCATCCGTACTGAATTGTAGTTTCCTGTCAACCTCTTTCCCTACCGAAAGAGGAGTTAGACAAGGTGACCCCCTCTCTCTTTTGCTGTATGTTTTTGTCGCCGAAGTTCTCGCTTTGGTGATCGGAGCAGACAGCAAAATTGAGGGATTCTCACTACCAGGAACACCGAAACCCCATAAATTACAGCAGTACGCAGACGATTCGAAATTTTTTGCCAAGGACGTAAAATCAGTCCGCTTTTTTTTCAAAACAGTAAAACTATTTGAAAAAGCAAGTGGTTCAGTGATCAATGCCTCAAAAACCAAGGGTCTTGCACTTGTGGGTTTTGATCCTAAAATGTACCCAGAATTGGACAACATAGAGTGGACCAATAACACCTGGTTCAAAATATTAGGTGTTACGTTCTACACCAGACTGAGTAATACTACCAACTTCCAGTGGCGGATTAAGACATCTTAGGGCCCGGGGCTATTTTGTTTTTGGAGGACTTTTTATGGGGTCTAAAAATAACTAAAATTAGGGGGACTACAGTCCCGGGGCTCGGGGCTATAGTCCCTCCGCCGCTCCCCCTCCCTTGATCCGGCCTTCCAATTTCAACTGACTAGTAACTCTAAACAAAATAGAGGAAAAACTCAAGTTTCTGGGACTAACAGTTGGGCTGAAAAGTTCGTATCGTTTCTAAGAAATGGCGCCACTAGAATTAAATTCATACCATTTTTAGTTAGTACCAACCTTGAAAAGATACGTGTAAAAATTTGACAGCTGTCAGATTATTAGTTTGTGATATATTGCTCTAGTAGTGACGCTACTTTTGTTATTGTGAAAAAAATGGAAAAAAAAGAATTTCGTGTGTTGATGAAACATTACTTTTTAATGAAAAAAAGTGATGCCGATACCAAAAAATGGCTTGATGAGTGTTATTCAGACTCTGCACCAGGCGAAGCAACAATTCGTAAGTGGTTTGCAAAATTCCGTACTGGTCATATGAGCACCGAAGACGATGAACGCAGTGGACGCCCAAAAGAGGCTGTTACCGATGAAAATGTGAAAAAAATCCACAAAATAATTTTGAATGATCGTAGAGTGAAGTTGTTGGAGATAGCTGACACCTTAAAGATATCAAAGGTACGCGTTGGACATATTATTCTTGAATATTTGGATATGAGAAAGCTCTGTGCAAAATGGGTGCCGCGTGAACTCACAATCGATCAAAAGCAACAACGAATTGATGATTCTGAGCAGTGTTTGGAGCTGTTACATCGAAATAGAACCGATTTTTTTGTCGATACATAACAATGGATGAAACATGGCTCTATCACCACACTCCGGAGTCCAATCGACAGTCAGCTGAGTGGACTGCACGCGATGAACCGACTCCAAAGCGTGGAAAGACTCAACAATCGGCTGGGAAGGTTATGGCCTCTGTTTTTTGGGATACGCATAGTATAATTTTCATCGATTACCTTGAGAAGGGAAAAACCATCAATAGTGACTATTACATTGCGTTATTGGAGCGTTTGACGGATGAAATTGCAAAAAAACGACCTCGTTTGAAGAAGAAAAAAGTTCTGTTTCATCAAGACAACGCACCGTATCACAAGTTAATGAATACGATGCTTAAATTGAACGAATTGGGCTTCGAATTGTTTTCTCATCCACCGTATTCTCCAGATTTAGCCCCCAGTGACTTTTTCTTGTTCTCAGATCTCAATAGAATGCTCGCTGGTAAAAAATATAAGAGCAATGAAGAGGTGATTGCTGAAACTGAAGCCTATTTCGAAGCAAAGGTTAAATCGTACTACAAAAATGGTATCGAAAAATTGGAAGATCGCTATAATCGCTGTATCGCCTCTGATGGGAACTATGTTGAATAATAAAACCGAATTTTGAAAAAAAAAATGTGTTTTTCTATTAAACGATACGAATTATTTTCAGCCCAACTGTTATGTACTTTGTCACTTAGGGAAAAGACTATGTTGATAAATACGTTAGCAATGTTTAAAGTTTGGTTTCTGGCAAACGTGCTGCCCGTTCCCGAATGGGTTATAGAATGTTTACACTGTGCCATATTCGAAATTTTGTGGCAAAAGACCAATTACAATCCGGTCAAAAGAAAGACAGTTTTCTTACCCGTCAAAAACGGAATTTTATCACCGAAGGAGCAAAGCCTTGCACTTCGCCTCAAAACACTCTTTCAACTGAAAGAATGCGGACAGGATAACACTCACGATTACTACTACTTTTCAAAGTAATGGTTAGCAAGTTCACTTATAAAGTTTACAAACCAAAACCAAAGCTAGAACTTTTTGAAACAGAACAATTTTCCAAAACACTGGAACAACAAAGTGTCTCAGTCCTACACAACAACAATTGAAACATAAGGCAAAAACGGATCCCTTTTTAACATCCCCCTAAAGTCAACTAAAAAAAATTTATTTAGAAGTGGCAAAAAACAAAAAGACGTGCCAGCAGAACTTTCTGGAACGGTTCAACAAAAGCAACAATGCCGTAAACCCAAATTTGGAAAAAAACTTTACCTCCCATGCATGCAGACCGACACAAAATACCCTTTTTCAATTTCTACACAACAGTCTACCTTCTGCTCCTTGCTAGCCAAAAACACAAGGCAACAGATTGTAAAAAACAACAAATGCAAAACTTGCTGTAAAATCGAAGACAACATCCGCATTTTTACCTACTGTCCTCCTTCTGTTGAAATATGGGAGTATTTTAAACATGTATATAACTCCTTGACATCCCAAAAAAAATTTTCTCTGATAAATTCGATCTTCTTGATTGAGATCTAGAAACCTACTTCACAACTGCTGTTGACGCTCACTCAAACCATTATGAGAACAATATGGAACAGTAGATGTCACCACATGTTTAGAAACATAAAAATTGACCCTTTGGCAGTGATCAGGGTAATAATCAGGAACTTCAGAAATATTATTATTTTAAAATATAATTATCATGTCCGTAGAAACACTGCGGACACTTCTGACAACTTTTTTGTATTAATAATGTATTTTGCCAAGTAGAGAATGGGAAATTGAAACTAAACATATGAGCTAATTTTATACACTGGCTCAAAATTCAGAACTGAATGTTTAGTTAAGACCTCCTGTTCTCTGCAAAGTTTTTTTTACAACATAATTATAGTTATTTATGATTAGAAAATAACTGCCAGCCCTTATTTTATGAAATATTATTTTAACATATTGGTGTTATACTTAGAAATTGTAAAATGATATATTTAAAAGTCCTGTAAATTACCTTATTACCTATTTATTTTTTCCCTAATATAGTGTTTTTTTTCAAAATACTCTAATCTAATATTGAACATTATCTTACAAAATATATAATTTTTTTTTTATAAACTTACAAAGTTTTGACATTTCTCTGCACAACGGCTAAAAATTAAGAAAAATAAAATAATAGAAAAAAATATAAAACCAAAACACACAAAAAAATAAAAAATTTAAAAAACACAAAAAAATAATAAAAACAATACAAAAAGAAAATGTATATAAATAAAAATATAAATAAAATGTAAATAAATAAAACCACTAGTAAACCTTCTATTTTATCTATTCAGAAAAACATTTGTAGAAATTCTAGATTGTAAAACCTTAACTTTATTTTAACCTGATATAGTAAAGTTTTACAAAATTGTAAATAATTTATTGTTTTATGAAAAAAAAAAACTTGTATATTTAAAAAAAAGAATTTTCTTACGATTTCGTTTCCGCACGCTTAAAGTCTACTGACGAAAATTGTCTTCTCATTAAGCTTCTGCATTACGAAGAATTTACTTAAAAAGCTTCGAGACTCAAAGTTTTTTTTCGAACCTCGAATTTAGAAGTTTAAAAATATGGACCTCAAAAACACGAAATTCGATTTTTTCGAAGTTGAACAAAATGGTCCTTATAATTGCGAATACAATCAAAGTATTTCGAAGTAATGAAATTAGAATTTTAAATTTTCGAAGTTTATATTTTCAAAGTTAAAAAAAAGTCTGTTGAGCACTAATTTATAGTTCCAGATTTAGTAAATACAAGTTTTTAACAAAAACAATAATTCACGACTTTACCTGATTAAATATCAGAGTAAATAAACAAACATTCATTATATTATCACGAAACATTTGTGCAACTTGAAAAAAAACCTCTCTACAAGTTTCCTTCAACAAAATCATTGTGGAAAGAGTTTGAAAAAATAAAGGCTCCTGACGACGCACCTCCAGATGAGCGTGATCCTTCTGGAAAGTGTAAGGAATGCGGAAGAATTCTAAAAATGAAAAACTCATCAATTGGCGCTTTAAGGTCTCATTTAAAGTGTCACAAAGGAATTCTGGCAAGAGTGGTAGCCTCTGAGCTAGTAGAAACTTAGCAAGAGGACGCAAATTCACTGGAACTTCACCAAGCTTTGCTTGATGTGAACGAATATGAAAAGAACCGTGACGGTAAGAAAATTTAAAATACAGGCACGCTTTGTTATGTGCGATCTTCTTATTTAGCTTTAGATGCTCATAAATAAAGTTTAACTGTTTTAATTTAATTTTTTTCAGATTTTATCAACAGTCCATCAAACAATACTCCTTTGAAAAAACACAAAAAGAAGAAGTTGTTGCCATCCCAATCCACACCTAGCAATTTAATTGTTGGATACTTTCAGCCCAAAGTTTCAATTTTTGACAAGCGCCAGCTTGACAAAAATTGAAACAATTTTGAAAACAGATTTTGTCTAAATTCTGACTGGTGAGCTGAATAGGCGATTTCCAAACAGTGGAACAAAAAATCACTATCATGCCATTAGAAATTTTTTCTAACCCTTTTTAAATGGTGCATTGATGAAAAAGTATGGTGATTTGGAAGGGCTGAATAAGCATCCAAGTCATCAAGAATTTTTGTCCCAAATCAGGAATGCTTCCCTTAATTTTACAGGGTTAGGCTTTGACCTTGACGAAGCTAAAAAAAATAGCATTAGAAATGTCTGGAGAAGAAATTCTGTTCAGGGATGGAAAGTCAAATATTGAAATTGAGTTAGACACATACAAAGGTCTCCCTCGTCCCGATTCCTCAAACACTGATATCATAAAGTGGTGGGAAGCCCATGCCAAAAGGATTCCACTACTTTTCCAAGTTGCAAGAAAATACTTGGCTATTCCTTTAACTTCTGCATCAAGTGAAAGAGTTTTCTCAGCTGCAGGCAGTGTGGTCACTGATTCAAGACTAAAATTAAATCCCCAAAATGTTGGTAAAATTGTTTACCTCCATACCAACATTGGAAAGATGGATATGGCACGATCTGCTTTTACAATTGAAACAGCAGAAGAGGAAACAGAAAAGAAATCCAAGACCTACCAAAAAAGTCAATCTGCTGTTACTCCACTACGACAAAACAAGAGGATCCGAACAAACATTGGTTCCAATGATATTTCTGATAATTAAACTTAATTTGTACATTTGTAAATTGTAAAACAAATCAATTACAAGCAATAATAGTTGTTACAAAGAATTTAATAATATCTAAAAAAAGTTTTATATATTTACTTTTCTGTTTTGCATAATTTTTACACTCTTAAATCCATTAAAAATTGTCTAAAACTCGATTTGATATACATCTTGAAAAATTCGGAATACTTCGAAAAAAAATCGAAAAAATTTGAAATACTTCGGATAATAATTCGAACATTTTCGAAGTCCGAATTTGCTTTGATTGACTTCGAAACTTTGACTTCGATTTTTGTAGCTACAAATGTTCACTTCGAAACTTCGACTTCGAAAGACTTCGTCACCCGTAATGCAGAAGTTTACTTTCCATTTCAAAGTCATTGGTTTCTTCCGATTGATTTGGAATACCTTGCTTTGATGGTGTTCCACCTTCTCCCAATTCGTTTTGACTCTTCCTTTTGACTTTTGTTATTTCTCTCGAGTTTCAGATAATCTGAGTTACTTGACCGTTTTGAAAGTTAACATCTTAGACAAGTTTTTATATAATTAAATTAAGTTGAAAAATCTGTTCTCGTCAGTGGCGGATTAAGACTTCTTGGGGCCCGGGGCTATTTTGTTTTTAGAGGTCTTTTATAGGCCAGAGCCTAAAAATGACTGAAAAAAAAAAAGTTCCTCTTAAATTTTTGGAGGCCCCTAAATTTGCGGGGCCCGGGGCTATAGCCCCCTTGATCCGGCACTGATTCTAGTATGTAAACTTATTCTTATAAAATTCTTTAAATAAAATGCAATATTTCTTGGAGTTCTATATACCCTTGTTATTCAAGTAATATAAAAAAACCGGTAAAAAAACAAAAAAATGATAAAACTTCAATATAATGTGTTCTTGCGTCGTAAAAAAGGTTTCCAAAACGACGACGTGACGTTATCACAGTCGTCTTCATCCAAACCACCTTCATTTGAAGATTGGTGATACTGAATTTCCAAAGACTCTCTTGCTTTTCTCTTAAAATAGTCTACATCTACTTTAACAGTGTTGTTTTTTATTGCAGCTAAAGGCTATTTGTATTTGGTAATTTCTGGAATGCCCCGCCACAGCCAAAATTTGCCCTAAAATGTATATTTTTAAATTTTGCAAATGCGAGTTGAAACCTTGAGTTTTGTATCACCTACACGAGTTTTCCACACGGACTCCTGGATAATAGTTGTTGGGAAGTCGAGGCTTGTTTTTTTGAGTCATTAATTGTTGAAGGTTTTTTGGTGATTTAAAAACTGGAGTATAGCTGCATTTTAAATATCTTTTTAAATTGATTACTTAATTTTGGTACCCATGGCAGAGAAATATAATTAAGTTCTAGTTTTTTGATGTTATTGTTGTTGATAGATATTAAAAAGATATGTTCTGGATTTGTTATTTGTTATTGTGATATCAAGAAAATTTATTGTGTGTGAGTCACTTTCTTTTTCAATTGTATATTTGATATTTTTGTGTTGATTATTTAACAAGTCAAAAAAACGTTTTGATTCTGCCTCATTATCAAAACGGGAATGGATATCGTCAACATACCTTTTAAATAATTTTACACATATTGGTTGAGTAAGATATTGTGCCTGTCTTAGAGCTTTTTTTTTTAATTGTTGCAGAAAACTCTCTGCCACCACTACCATTAATGAAAAACCCATAGGAACGGCATTATTTAATGTGTGTAAGTTGTTTTCATGTAAAAAATAACAGTTTGATAAACACAAATCTAAAAATATTTTTATTTCTGAAAACGATAATTTTGAATTAAAGACAGGGCTGTTACAGAGTTGTTCTAATAAAATATCGATTAATTCTTTAACTTTGTTATATGTAAGTGAATTATTAGTTGGTTTGTGTGCCTTGATGAAACCATATAATCGTGGAGGAGTTGCGTCACTTGGATAAATTGTTCTATATTCATTTTTAGTAAACTTAGTTTTTAAATTTCGTAAAATATTCTTAACTTTGCAATAGAGTTTTTGAGTTGACATTGTATTGACATTATATTGAGGTTTTATTATTTGTTTGTTTTTTTAACGGTTTTTTTATATTACTTGAATAACAAGGGTATATATAACCCCTAAAAATATTGTATTTTATTATAAAGAATTTTAAAGGATAATTTTACAAACTATAACAGATGTTTTAACTCAATTAACCGTTTTGACTTCTTTATATAGTTCAAATACCCCTAACTTTTTTTGCTTCGGTTGTTTAGGTGAAACTTTAACGGATAAAATCTCTTCTGTTTATTCTGCACTTTTTAAAACCTCTGATTTTTTATTTCGGACTGGATCAGCAACGATAGGTTTTTCTGAAAAACTTGTTTTTTAATCAAAATTAAGTAATCCGGTTACCGGTTTTTTTATATTATTTGAATAACAAAGGGTATATAGAACTCCAAGAAATATTGCATTTTATTTAAAGAATTTTATAAGAATAAGTTTACATACTAGAATCAGTGCCGGATCAAGGGGGCTATAGCCCCGGGCCCCGCAAATTTAGGGGCCTCCAAAAATTTTAGAGGAACTTTTTTTTTTCAGTCATTTTTAGGCTCTGGCCTATAAAAGACCTCTAAAAACAAAATAGCCCCGGGCCCCAAGAAGTCTTAATCCGCCACTAACGAGAACAGATTTTTCAACTTAATTTAATTATATAAAAACTTGTCTAAGATGTTAACTTTCAAAACGGTCAAGTAACTCAGATTGTCTGAAACTCGAGAGAAATAACAAAACTCAAAAGGAAGAGTCAAAACGAATTGGGAGAAGGTGGAACACCATCAAAGCAAGGTATTCCAAATCAATCGGAAGAAACCAACGACTTTGAAATGGAAAGTAAACTTCTGCATTACGGGTGACGAAGTCTTTCGAAGTCGAAGTTTCGAAGTGAACATTTGTAGCTACAATAATCGAAGTATTGTATTTTATTATAAAGAATTTTAAAGGATAATTTTACAAACTATAACAGATGTTTTAACTTAATTAACCGTTTTGACTTCTTTATATAGTTCAAATACCCCTGACTTTTTTTGCTTCGGTTGTTTAGGTGAAACTTTAACGGATAAAATCTCTGTTTATTCTGCACTTTTTAAAAACCTCTGATTTTTTTTTTTGGACTGGATCAGCAACGATAGGTTTTTCTGAAAAACTTGTTTTTTATTTAAGTTGCCCATTGTGCTTGTATCTCAGTGTTTGGCCATTGACATTTTCAAAACGTGGTAATGGGTTGATGTAAGAATTTATCCAGTTTTTAATAAGATTTGTCCAGTTTTTATTAAGATTTGTCCAGTTTTTAATAAGATTTGTCCAGTTTTTAAGAAGATTTGTGCAGTTTTTAAGAAGATTGAGGTATTGGTTTCACCACTGTCTTGCTTTTGAGGCATATCAGCGATGATTACATCCTTAAGTATTTCTGGTTCAACTGCTTTGGCAGTTGTTTCTTTGACATTTGTTTCCAAAAAAGTTGGAGCATTTTCTTCCTGTCCGTTATGTTTCGTTCTAATTCCATAACCCAAGATGTTAAGGAATTTTGGTAATGAAGAGGACATATCCTCCATTACAGCGATTAAAATTCCGCTGTAATATTGGATACCCTTCGTTGTTGTACGCATTATGGGTCTGGAGTTAACGTGGGTTCCATAGCTCATTTCTTCAAAAATTTTTCCAATCTTTAGCGTTTTGGCTTCGATTGGAAACCCAAAAATAGAAACATGGATTTGTTGTTTTCGCTCGGGGTGTTCGATGAATGGTTTTTGGTATGGGTTTGATTTGGTAAAGGTGTGGTGGAATCCTAGGATATCCAGTCCAGATTCTAGTAATGCTGATCTTGAAAGTTCGGTTTTTAAAATAAGATCGAGTGCGCTGTTTTTTTGAATTAATTGGCGGCCCTCCAAATGCCCATCAAGGTTTCTCTTCTCAAGGGCATTGATAACATCGAAAATATTCATATTACATTAGACGTTGCTTAATAGTGTTTTAATTAGGGGTTGCTTCTTGGGTAAGATATTTGTTTTAATGGCTTGTGCACAGCGCCAGCGCGAGTAGGTGTCACGTGGGGGAGGGGGGTGCCATTAAAACTTTTGCCGACTAAAAAAGAAAAAATAAATTAAAAAAAAATAAGATCTTCGTTTTCGAAAATTTGCCGACTGCCATGATGACATTTGCCGACTGTCTAACCTATATCAAAAGGGTCGACATTTGCCAACTAACTAGTCTAAAATGGTCTAATTTGCCGACTAAAATTCATTAATGGGGGGGGGGTGTCACCCCCACCCCTATTGCGCCGGTCTTGCTTGTGCATAATTTTTGGTTTTGGTGTTAAATTTTTTTTTTCGGTATGTTCTTCATCGTCGCTATAATCGATGTTAATCTCAGCAATCGATGCTCCTGTTGCTACTTTTTTCATTTTACTCAGCAATATTAATGCTTTCTCTTTTAATATATCATCATCGTTACGATTGAAATCAACTTTGTTGTTATTATTTGAAGTTTTTAAAAAAACTGTTTTTTCCTTCTCTTCGGACGCCATTTTTACTTTCAAAACCGTTTGTGCAAACACGCCCGTATGCCTACCTTATTACACAGGGACTGGTTATTACCCCAGGCGGTTTTAAAAAATTCACACCTTTATTATAACCACTGGGTTATGCAGGACATGTTCGTACATCATTTGTTTATAAGATAAATTACTGGCCATTAAGCCTCGCATTCAGAAAATATAGGCATGTCCGTCACACCAACTAGACTGCTGGGGACATGCTTTGAAGTTTAAAATTAAAAATTATGTTAATTGTGGTTGAAAACCATTAGTTATGAGAGAAAAGTTAGATTTGGGTTATTTTTGTCGCTAATTGCATTGTTTATGGAAAACATATCGTGGAGTTTCTCCACGTTGTTCTCTCTTAAATATTTGTTATAGTTTGTTTTCCGTACATTTCTAATTTCGTTTTTAATCCTCTTTATAATTCTTGCCGAGG